TGGAAATTGTAAGATTCACGCTTAAATATTATTAAAATACTAAGATCCGCTTCAGACCGCATTATGCATTTTTCTCGTATTGTTAATTTTAAATATTTTACCTAATCAAATATCCTTTCAGCCACTAAATATAGGTGACATCGTTATACATATATTATCTAAGTTATACAGGGTGAGTCATTTAAATCTCAAATCTCAAATATTTCACTTGTTTTCATGATATGAAAAAATGTTTTAGACGAAAGTGAAATGGTTTCGAGGGAAACATATTTCAGTCATGTTGCTTTTTTCTAAATAAAGGCGCCAAAAAGATATAAAGATCACCTCCACTTTTTTAAATGGAATTATATAATTTTTATTACATAATATGATTCCTCTAATTATTCTGCATATAAAAGTAAAGCACATAAAAGTAAAATTATCAAAAAATTAATACTTTACGAGATATTTTATACTTTAGGATAAACCCGGTATATTCGCCGCGCGAGGATTTACGCCACAGAAGTCAGAAAAAATATAAGAAGTGAAACTAATTTTCTCGCAACCACTCTGTTACATGCCTTTATGTTATATTAGTATTGTGTTGTAATTTCAGTTTTTTACTGTTAATATTTATAAAATTATTGTATATTAAATCGATTTATCACTGTAATAAGTAGCGCAATTATAAGTTATAATCTACATAAAATGATTATTGTAGGAAATGTAAAAGGCTTCGTGATTATTTTGTGGTATATGTATAAGTGTAGAGGATTAGTAAAGGATAGAGTATAGCAAAATACAAGTGCTTAGCTCTTGTATTCTTTATTTAGTTTATTTTCTCGTATATCCCATCTGTTTGGGATATATGGCATTTTTAGCACGTGGGATTTATGCCGTAACACAGACGCTCTATTATTTATTTATAAATATAAAAGCAAATAATAATACGTGATAATACGCCCTTTACAATACATTAATCATAACATTCATGTATGTATATACTTATGTATGTATTTATTTATAATCTGTAATAATACATTCTTTATTTATTTATTAATCAGTAAATGCAAATTACGTTGTTAATTCATGTGTTATTTACTATTATTATTTAGATTATTTGTATAGTTTTCGAATCATTTATCCCACTTATGAGTAGCCGTATAACCCACCCCTATTTTTATAAGGCAAAAATGCAAGAGTTAAAAAAAATTTCTTTTTAATATAAAAAATAAATAATTTTGATTTTTAATATTTTTTTTATAATAGTAAACAGTATAAAATTTTTACTGACATAGTTCATTTAAACTAAATAAATAATATCTGATAAATTAAGTTTCTAATAGGTGCGGCGTATACACCGGGTTTACTCTATCATGCCATATATCGATATGAAATATCTTGTAAACTATTGATTTCTTGATAATTGTACATCAATACTTTTATGCACAGAATACTGAGACAAATCGATTGGTATAAAGAAAACACACAGTTGCTTTTTAAAGAAAATATGTAGTTAAATATTACAAATTGCACATTTTTTACATTTACTCCGGTTTACATCCATTCCATTGGTATGCCAATAATGTAATCAGTAATTTGTGATGTAACTTTACATATTCTCAAAACCTAAGCTTGAATACTATTATACCTAATCGATCGTGTTAACGCATATCTTTAAATCGACATAACAATCTTTTCATCCACCCGAGCAGTACGCCAATGATATATTCCATTAATTTATATAAAAATGTGATTGTTTATTAAATGGCAACACAAATACTGTAATACCCGAGCCTGTGTCCTAAGAGCTCACTTTGCGCCGCTTCCTTCCATCCACTTTAGAGGTATGCCAATTATATTACGTCGAGTTTTTTTTCTTTTTTCAGAGATTCGTACAATTGTCATACTGAATACTGCAATGTTTTTTCGTTTCACAAATAATTATTTAAAAAATTGTTCTTAACAAGTACATCCACTGTACACGTATGCCAATTAGTTTCCTGTTGTCTCTAACACTGGAATAGTAAAGTAATATGGGTCTCCAACTGAATACTATGATGCCCACAAAACCTGCGATGAGCCCCCGGACTATATCACCGATATTTATTTGCCAGACACGCTATACACACGCGGATCGCATGATAATCAACGTTCCGGTGCGATTGTTGATCTGCGGATAATTTAATATAATTTGATCTTCTTTGTGATCATCTTGCGGCATATGTGACAGGTGTTCAGTTGTTCGGCGCAGTGTTCACATGCGCAGTGCCCGCATAGAAAGGCAACGTTACGACGACGTCCCACACAGACGTTGCACATATTCGCCTCGTCAAAATCCGGGATTTTAGTCATTAAATAACGTAACATCTGGAGCTTAAGTGGTTCCAGATCGTTGTCCTTCTCCCTGATATCTTCCTTCCGTTTGCTCTCCGACGATACGTCCTTCGATTTATCCGGATTGGAGACCTCATCTGTCGCCAGCTGACCGTCTAGAAAAATGTGCAAAAATAATGTAAAACATTCGCTTACAATCTCTACGGGATTTTTCACAGCTATAATTTGTTACGCTCAATATCTCTCTGGTGCAACAAACGTTTAATTCGCTAAAATTCCATGCTCAATTTAGATCATTTACACAAGATCGATAAAATCACGTACCTTGAATCGTTTGCGTGTTGACAAGATGGCTGCAACCAACGAATGTAATACTACTGCTGGGATCATTTCGGTTCTCCTGCTTTGTGTTCGCTATGATTGCCGAGCAATCCTCATGACTTATTAACACGTCGCCAGAATTGGCTATATTCTTATTTGCGCCGCGCAATCCGTCTGTCTGTGACATATTATCTATCCGATGTTCTACGTAACCCGCAGTCAATAAAATCTCCTTTAATCTGCGAATTACATTTTACATTTATTAATAAAATTTTTAATTGTCAGAATCATTTGAGTAATTCCGGAAGCGTTGCAAAATCAGTTTTCAAAACGTAAAACAATTCAACTTCATGTTTCAAGCAAATTTACATTTCGAAGATTAGACTTGCGGAAAATTTAGAACAGTCGTATCCTGGTCTTACTCTAATTGCGTGCTGTAACTTTGGCATTTGTAAAATTCTAGAAAATAGGCGAACACAGCGACCTGTTGCTTGTTTTCCAAAAGATCAAACGGTGTCGTGTTCTTGTTGTTTCTGACTTGCATAAGAAGTTTGCAGCTTTTATCCGCGCTTATTAAGAAACAAACTAATGCTAATTCAGTCTGTGCGCTTTGCCTCGCCAGGTTCTGCCAAATCTGTCCGAAAGAAGAAATTGTTTATTTAAAAAGATTGATAAATTAACCTTTTCTTTTCCATTTCTTTTCAAATTTTTAAGCCTTAATATATAAAACATATACATATTTATATGTACGTGTATATAAGATTGATTCACATAACACTCTCATTGTTAGGCACATACAGCATGTATAAGTGGTGAATCTCGGCTACTTTCGGGTGTAGGCACTACAATCTGTTGATTCGGGCTCTTGACAGTGCAGCACGCGATATGCAGCACAGTGTTACCGTCCTCGTCCATGCTGCTGACGTCCGCATTATAATGCACCAACAGTTCGACGAGCGGCCAGTATCTCTGCGAAGTCGCTAAATGCAACGGCGTTTGCCCTTGATTATTGCGCAAATCGACTGTAGCGCGGCCGCCATTCTGCGAGAGGAGGATGGCCGCTACTTCCCTGTGTCCGTTCAATGCCGCTAAATGCAACGCTGCGGTTCCATCATCCATTTTTACATCCACCAAGTGACGCGAGAGTGTAACGAGCCTCTTCATTGCACTAATTCATATATTCACGTAGTTAAATTAGAATGATTGGGTTAATTTTAATCATAGCCAAGCTATTGCTACGCAGATGTTAACGTATTAAGTTGTTATGCGACTATACTTAATCGTGTCTGCCTTATACATATACACGTACTGAGCGTTGCCCTCGAATGCGGCCTGATGCAGGATGTTAAAGCCTAGTTTGCTCCTCAGCGTGAAGTCGACCCTCTCGCATTCGCATAATGCGTCGATTATGTCCTGCGCGTTTTCCGTAATCGCGTCGTGCAGTGCTGTGATGCCATGCAAATCTTGGAGATTGACGTCGCAATCATAACGTAACAGTACTCTCACGCATTGTACGTGATGCTTATTAACTGCCACATGCAGAGCACTACATTTGTTGTTATTGACGGCATCGATGGCTGTGCCTCGCGATAACAGTAGATTCGTTATCTCCGACCGATTGCTGTTTAATTAAACGAGAGGTTACCGATGTTACTTTGACGTTACGGCAGATCCAAGAAACGACTTTTAACGTACTCGTATGCCGCGTAATGCAAGGGTGTGTCTCCGTTCTCATCGACTAAATGTAAAGAAGCACCAGCGTCCAGAAGAAAGGTGCAGACCTCGCGATGACCGTTCTTCGCGGCCACATGCAGAGCACTACATTTGTTGTTATTGACGGCATCGATGGCTGTGCCTCGCGATAACAATAAATCCATTATCTCTGACTGATTGCTGTTTAATGAAACAAGAGGTTACCGATGTTACTTTGACGTTACAGCAGATCCAGGAACCGACTTCCAACGTACTCGTATGCCGCGTAATGCAAGGGTGTGTCTCCATTCACATCGACTAAATGCAAAGAAGCGCCAGCATCCAGAAGGAAGGTGCAGACCTTGCGATGACCGTTCGCCACTGCCACGTGCAGAGCACTACATTTGTGGTTATTGACGGCATCAATGGCTGTGCCTCGCGACAACAGTAGATTCATTATCTCCGGCTGATTCCTGTTTAATTAAACGAGAGATTACCGATGTTACTTTGACGTTACGGCAGATCCAAGAAACGACTTTTAACGTACTCGTATGCCGCGTAATGCAAGGGTGTGTCTCCGTTCTCATCGACGAAATGCAAAGAAGCACCAGCGTTCAGAAGGAAAATGCAGACCTCGCGATGACCATTCTTTGCGGCCTCATGCAGAGAACTACGTCCGTAATTGTTAACGGCATCGACGGAGATGCCTCGCGATAATAGTAGATCCGTTATCTTCGGCTGATTGCTGTTTAAACAAAAGAAAGGATACCGATGTTAGTTTGACGTTACGGCAGATTTAGCAACAACTTTCAACATACCCGTATGACGCGTAATGCAAGGGTGTGTTTCCTTGTAAGTCGATCATATGCAAAAAAGCACCAGCTTCTAGAAGGAAGGTGCAGACCTCGCGATGACCTTTCCTCGTAGCCATATGCAGGGAACTGCGTCTGTCATTATTGACGGCATTGATGGATGCGCCTCGCGATAATAATAGATCCACTATTTCCGGCTGATTACTGTTTAAACAAAATAAAGGATACCGATGTTAGTTTAACGTACAGCAGATCCAGCAACGACTTCCAACTTACCAGAGCGCCGCGAAATGCAAGGGTGTGTCTCCGTTCTTATCAGTCATCCGCAAAGAGGCACCAGCGTTCAAAAGGATGGTGCAGATCTCACGCTGACCTTTTTGAACGGCCACATGTAAAGCACTACATCTGTCATTGTTAGCGGCATTGACAGATGCGCCTCGCGATAACAGTAGATCCATTATCTCTGGCTGATTGCTGTTTAATGAAACGTGAAGTTACCATTGTTAGTTGATTGCTATTTAATTTTTTTGACTTTACGACAGATCCAGCAACGACTTTCAACTTACCCAAATACCGCATAATGCAAGGGCGTGTTTTCCTTCTCGTCGACCACATGCAAAGAAGCACCAGCGTCCAAAACGAGAGTACAGAGCTCGCGCTGACCTTGCTTTGCGGCCACATGCAGACACGTCATTTTGCCGAGGATGCTTGCGTCCACATTTTTAGGATAGTTTTTCAGGAATTCTTGTACAGTATCTGGTGCGCCTCTAATTATTGCATCCGTCAACAGTTTTGCCACTTCGACTACATTGCAATGACAAATTGAAAGACAAATTGAAAAACAGTCTCTTGTTTTAGATGCAGCAATATTGGTAAAATTAATTTTCTTTTTGTAAAATAAATATAATATTTGTGGCTTGTATTAAGAATACGTAAAAAAATAAATTATAAACAGTCAAGAATAATTTATTAAGGATTGTTAAAGAGTTATTTATTCAATGTGCGTGTACAAAACTAAGCGACTACCCAGTGAGAAGGCTGATGTCGACTCGACGTCGTTTTGACGTCGATGTCATCGAAAACTCATCGAATCGAAATTGACATCGAAAATCAGGCCATTTCGATCAAATTGTTTTGACATCAAAAAATA